TGATTTTTTTGGTTTTGATAATAAAAGGGATGGTTTTTTTTTTATTTCTTCTTCTTCAGATTTATTGTTTGTGTATAGGAAGGCTACTGACTTTTGCGTGTTGATTTTGTATCCTGGCACTTTACTGATCTGATTGATGAGTTGAATTATTTTTTCTGTGGAGTTTTGGGGTTCTCTATGTATATTGTCATATCATCAGCAAATAGTGATAGTTTGACTTTTTTCCTATTTGGATTCCTTGTATGTCTTTCTCTTGTCTTATTGCTCTGGCTAGGACTTCCAGTATTATATTGAAAAGCAGTGGTGAGAGTGGACATCCTTGTCTTGTTCCAGATCTTAATGGAAATGCTTTCAGCTTTTCACCATTGAGAATGATACTGGCTGTTGGCTTGTCATAGATGGCCTTTATGATGTTGAGGTATGTTCCTTGTATCCCAAGAATTTCAAGGGCTTTTATCATGAATGGGTGTTGCACTTTGTCGAAAGTTTTCTCGGCATCTATTGATATTATCATATGGTTTTTATATTTCTTTTTGTTGATGTGTTGGATAACGTTGATTGATTTTTGGATGTCGAACCATCCTTGTGTCTCTGGCATGAATCCTACTTGGTCGTGGTGAATTATCTGATGGATACATTGTTGGATTCTGATAGCTAAAATTTTATTGAGGACTTTTGCATCCTCAATAAAATACAGTGTTCATTAGGGAGATTGGCCTGTAGTTTTCCTTTTTTGTGTTGTCCTTGTTCGGTTTTGGTATCAGTGTAATGTTGGCTTCATAGAATGTGTTTGGTATTGTCCCTTCCGTCTCAATTTTTTGGAAAAGTTTGTGAAGGATAGGTGCTAATTCGTCTCTGAATGTTTGGTAGAATTCATTTGTAAATCCATCAGGTCCTGGGCTTTTGTTTTTGGGGAGGTTTTTTATTACCATTTCAATTTCGCTGCTTGTAATTGGTCTGTTTAGGTGTTCTATTTCTTCTTTACCTAGCTTTGGGTGATTGTAGAGTTGTAGGAATTTGTCCATCTCCTCTAGATTGTTGAACTTGTTTCTTGGGAGCTTTACTATTGTGTGTCTTGCTGTATTTTTCCTTTCGTCGTGGAAGTTTGGTGTTCTTCTTGCTTCTTGTATGTCAATTTTCAGGTCCTTCTTCATGTTTGGGAAGTTCTCTTCAATTATCTCCTTGAATATTTTCTCTGTTCCTACATCTTTCTCCTCTCCTTCTGGGATTCCTATAACTCTTATATTTCCTTTCCTCATGGAGTCAGATAGTTCCCGAAGTCTTTAGCTCCTCCATTAATTCTTTGATCTCCTGCATTTCTTTTATTTCCCTCGTTATTTTTTTTATAAATCTTTTTTTTTTATTTAATAGAGGCATGTTTTTTTATTTATTGTTTGTTTGTTTTGTTTATACAAGCACTGGGTACAGCCAGAAGCACGGGAGGGTGAGAGAATTCACCAGAGCCAGAGTGGGGGGAGTAGAACAGGCAGATTGAAAAGTACACTGCTGAGGGGAGCAGCGGGCGGCAGGAGAGGTCTGCGTGCCATGTGGGACCCTCACCCAGAGGCCGGGGAGCAGCCGGGGATCGAACTGGTGCCGCAGAGGCTGCAGGCAGCTTCGCAACCCAGCGCTCAACCGCCGCGCCACCGGGGAGGCCCTATTTCCCTCTTTAGGGACTCAATTTCATTCTTCTGATCGTTGATTATTTTTCCCTTATCATTGTTTTCCCTTATGACTTCTGTCATTTTTTTAATCACGGAAATTTTAAATTCTCTTTCTGGATGGCTCAGAAGTTACTGTTGTTGCAATCTGGTGGGTGGTTTTCTTTTTGTGGTGTGCTTTTTTCCTGAGGAGTTGCTAGGTTGCGTGTGGTTCTTCTACTCCCTACTGTCTGTTTTCTAATTTGCCGTATGCATTGGGACACTGTGTTGCTGGGACTGGCGGGCATCATGGGTGAACTTCTCTGCTCCCCTCTGCCTCCTCCAGGAGCCATCTGTCGGTTTCTCGCAGTCTTTACTGAAGGAAGGTCCCTGTTCTAAAATGCCGATGCTGGGACATGCTCCCCTGCACACCTGGTCTGCCTGGCACTGGGTTCCCGCTCCCTCTCTGGGCTTGGACTGCAGGCCAGAAGGGGCCTGGCATGGCCAAACTTCCTAGCTCACCTCTGGCTCCTCCAGGAGCCTTTTGTGGGTTTCAAGCAGTCTTTACTGAAGAAATGTCCCTGTTCTAAAATGGCGATGTGGGACACATTCCCTGCACACCCGGTCTGCCCCAGCGGTGGGTTCCCGCTCCCCCTCTGGGCTGGGACTTCAGGTCAGAAGGGGCCTGGGGTGGGTGAACTTCCCAACTAACCTCTGGCTCCTCAGGGAGCCTTCTGCTGGTTTCAGGCAGTCTTTACTGAAGAAATGTCCCTGTTCTAAACTGGTGATGTGGGACGCAATCCCTGCGCGCCCGGTCTGCCCCGGCAGTGGGTTCCCGCTCACCCGCTGGGCTGGGACTGCAGGTCAGAAGGGCCTGTGGTTGGCGAACTTCCCACCTCACCTCTGGCTCCTCAGGGAGGCTTCTGCGGGTTTCAGGCAGTCTTTACTGAAGAAATGTCCCTGTTCCTAAATGGCTATGTGGTATGCGCTCCCTGCGCACCCGGTCTCAGGTGCACTCTTCTGTGCGCCCAGTCTTCCCTGACCGTGGGTGCCTGCTCCCCCTCTGGGCTCGGACTGCTGGTCAGAAGGGGCCTGGCGTGGGTGAACTTCCCAGCTCACCACTGGCTCCTCTGGGAGCCTTCTGCCGGTTTCAAGCAGTCTTTCCCAAAGAAAGGTCCCTGTTCTATGGGATGTTGGTGATTTTTTTTCTGGTCCCTAGGTGGCCCCAGAGATCTCTCCTGGTGTCCTTGGGGAGCTGTTTTTTTCACCCCGTGGTATGGGGAACAGAGTGGGAGTGGTGGGGAAAGCCTCAACGGCTTTGGGGTGCTGTATCTGCCCTGTGCCCCACCGTCGTGGGGAACACATGCCCCGAATTTCATGCCCCGGGTCTCAGTTCCAGAGTCCTCAGGTCCAGGTCATGGGCTGTAGCCCTGTTCAGTGTCCGCAGAAATGGCGCCTTTTGCACCCTGCTCCCGTGTCCGGGCGCCTGGTTTCTGATTACTCAGTGAGGGACATTCACCTCAGTGACGGCCCCCGCACGTCTCCCCACAAGCCTAGGTCGGAGGCATGGGGACTGGGCAGCCGCGATATGCGTTTGTTTTTCAAGTGCGCTGCTTCTCCCCGCAAGCTACCAGCTGGCCTGGGGCTGTGTGTAGGTCTTCAGGAGTCTTTGTTTTTCTCTAATGGTGCCTGGAGCAGTTTACTCACCTCCACGGCGAATCCTGCAGGGTTCTGCACAGCTCTAGTTCATGGGGTGTGGTGGATGAAATAGTTCCTTTCCACTCACAGTCTGCTTGATGCGTAGTTTGTTCTTGTTGGTTGTTACAGGTTTTTTTTTTTTTTTTCCCCTCCTTTCTGCTGGTCGGAGAGTGCCGACTTTGTGGTTGGGGGAGGGTAGCAGGGTTCTGAGCTTTCCTCCCTTCTAGTCCTCTTTTATGGCAACTTTCTTCTTTGGGTAGTTTGCTGGAGTTGTCCGTTTATCTTCAGTGTCCCAGTTCTCACTGGGACCTGTCGCTTTTCCTCCCTATTAGCTTTTTTTTAATGGGAGACCTTACTCACAGTGTTTCCTCACCGCCATGTTGATCCGCCCCTCCCTTCTTTTTTTTAAAAAAAAAAAGTGTGTCTGTCCCTTTAAGGTGTTATAAACCCTTTTGAAATGAGGAGCATAAGGACAAAAGTCTTTGGCAAGAAAGAAAAAGACAGCTTTTGGGTTTCAAAAAGTTGAAATCTTACTTCTGTCCTCAGTCTTTGCTCTGCTTTATTTTTTGGCACATTGCTCACTTGTGCATTTCAGGCACCACAAGGACTCATGGGGGTTCACACCTACAGTTGGGGGATTCCCTTCTCTAGCTGGGGATTCCCTTGTCTAGCTATGCTCTGGGGAAATTCCTGCCTCCTCTCCATAGGCCCCTTTTCTTGGTTCCTCTGGTCAGAGACTTGATGCTTCTCCTAGAGATTAAGCAGTTGCTGTTGAGGCTGTGCAGCTCTCACCCCACGCCTGGTGGTGGGGCTAAGCCCTGACAGGAGAGAGGGGAAAAATGGCAAACTAGGTCTGGGAGGGTTGTCTCCCCAAGTTCTGACTCTTCACAATCCACCTGCTGGTTTCTTTTCCAGGGTTCTCAGTACTTGCTCCTTATCAACTGCCAGTCTCAGGTTGTGATCAATGGGAGCAATAAGCTCTTAAACTGTAATTTTAAATTTCCAAATAAATTAAATATCATGGCTCAAAAGAAACCAAGTATCTAGAAGTTAGGTTCTCTTCCCCGCCCCAAACCAAACATCCTCTCTAGGGCCTAGGGTTGTTTCTGGAGTATTCTGAATTTGTGTATTAGCCTGAGATGGAGAAAGAAATGCAGACAGAAGTTTCCTGGGTGGCCTGCCATTATTTTATTAAAGGTGTGCTCACTTATTAGCGAACTGGCACTGAATGCCAGAATTTCAAACCACCACAGAAGTCATTCAACACCTTCACTTGATAGAAGGAGGAAGTGAGACCAACAGAAGAGGGGTGATTTGTCCCACTGATGGGGATGCACATGGCAAAGATGGCCTGGGAAATGGCTTGTTTAATACAGTGAAGACATCCAGTAACCACTCTCTCAGTGCCAACTAATGTGCCGAGCTAACTATTGCAGGTTTCAAAAAGGAGATGATGCATGAAGTTGAGGGCATAGAAAGTTTATATAACAAGAGAGAAGGGGCATATGGTAAAACTAAACCCCAGGCTATTTTTGAACTTGGAATTTGGTCTAGTGACTTACTCTTTCCTTTATAGAAGTAGTAATAGTATTGATGTAAGTACTAACAGATAAAGTTTGGGTTCTAAGTGATAAAGTTTATAAGCATTTAGCTAATGGCTGGTTCAATAAATGTAGCTTTTTTGGGATTATTGTTATTATTCTTTGAAATTCACAAGTGCTCCCAGAATATTTAAGCATTTGCCATGCTTTGATCTCCAGTGTGAACAAATGCTTAATGAATGGAATTCTTTTACAAGAGCATTCATTGGAGCCCTCAGCTCATTCAGGTGTCTACCCATTTATCAGTCCAGCTTTAAGGGAATGACTCCCTACTCCTCACTTGTACCTCACCCTTGGGGGTTCAGAATGAGAACTTTATCATTTCTGGTATTTCAGAATCATTCAATACATGTCACAGTATGTATAGGATTCTTTCTAGTATGCCCACCCCCTCCTTTGAGAAAGGTGTTTTTGGTATGGTGGCAAAGGAACAAAAGGGGTGTGCTACCTCTGGGAGGCAAGAAGCCCCTTCCCCAGGCTTCCTCTCCCTGAGCACTTGTCTCCCATTGACGAGAGCAGGTTGTGTTCTCAGATTCTTTATTACAAAATAAGGAAGGGAAGTCTGAGGAGATTCACTCATCATAGAATTTTGGCAGCTCGTTGCCCAAGATTACTCGAAGATCCACACTGGCAGCTGCAATGGTGACCAGTTAGATGACACCCCCGCTCGAGCCATCCCGGTTCATGGCCAGAACGATAGCTGCAAACGGTTTCGGTTTGGAGGATGGGAGAGAGAGTGGCTGAGATTCAACGATCTTTTCCCTTCCCTTCTGGCCCATATGCCTACTTCCATCTCAGACCCCAAAATCCACCTCCTGGAGGTAATTAGTGGTGTGTGGGAAAATCAGCTTTTACAAAATGCCTTCATGTGTAGCATCTCCCGATGTCCCCCACCTCCAGCTTAATAATAGCTTAATAATAGAAACAGCTTAATAATAGCTCACAAATTCTTGGATATTTAGCAATCAACTCTCAAGCTGGCCCAATCCAGCCCCAGCACACCACTGATTGTTAGGGTAACCATGGCCCTAATTGCTGTACTCAGAACAGTCCTGGTTCATGCCTCTTGTCTTGATGTCCCATCCAATTGTTCTGCTCCCTTTCACTCACAAAAGCATCCCAGGGTGGACGTTAAAGAAAATGGTCACCCACATATTCGTCTCTCTGCTCCTCACAGTCTGCTTCCTTCCCATGTTAAAAACCGTCCCCAGGTACGATTCCACCTGTCTTGTTACCATTTGTGGTGAAGCGTCTGCATTCCTCAGGGGACATGCCTGGTTTATACGATCCACATAACCATAGATGTAGATGCTGCCAGAGCCACCAATGGCAAAGGGCTGTCGCGTCAGCATTCCATCCAGGGTTCCGTACACCCGGGGAGGCATCACAGGTCAGACTTTACAGCAGCAGATAATAGAAGTAAAACTTGAACTCAGGAAAAGAAGATAATTGTTATCAGAGGGAATAGAGGAGACGGTGGAAGATTGGGGATGGAGCAGATGAGGTATGGGCACAGGTGGTTTGGTGAGAGGAAAAGTCTTTCATATTAAAAGAAAAAATCTCCTTGACCTGCAGAGGCCAAGTAGACAAAGCATGTGACAAAAGTAGAAAATGATGAAGTGCTAAAAACAGAGTGACAATCAGAAGAGTTCAGAGAAACTTATTTGTATTTACATAGCCATGAGACAGACTTAGCGCTTTAAGGGCAAATAATATTTAGAAAAGTGGTAGAGGAAGTGATTTGTAGAGGTAAAAGGAAATAATATAAATTAGGTACTGCTATTGAGTGACTATGTCACACTAAAGAGAAAATAATCATATTTTGCCTAAGTAGAATAAAGGTTACATGTTGAAAGTAAGAGGATATAGGGTTAAAAGATTATTTATAGAAATTTGGTAGATCAAGAAAGTAAGAAAGTAATAGCTTTAGTTTACTATTAAAGACAGTGGAGCACCACTACCGAGTCTTGAGCAAATATAAAGGTGAATATTGAAAATTCCACTTAATAGTTATAGATTATAATACTGAAGAAGAAAAAAATCTTCCTTCCCACTGAGACAAGCAGGTGGTCTCCACTTTCTGCAGTGAAGCCCAGTACCCCATACCCCACGTACTATGCTTTCAAGAGGCAGTCTTTGAAATTCATTGCAGGAATGACATGTTGCTGCACCACCCCCTGCAGTGACCCTCAGGGCTAATGGCTGTTGCCATGGTCCCTGAGGTCCCGGCGTGGGCAAGGAACCATGCGCGCAGGGGGAGAACAGCAAACTCCCTAAGTTGCAAAAAAGCCGAAAGCCTGCCAAGAGATAACGACCACCAGAAGCTGCCACAGAGATGATTAAAAGAAATGTTGACCACCTGGAACCTTATCTCGCTTTCTCAAGGCCCACAAACTTTATTCTGCTTCAACTGTCTTTCTAAAATCTTCCCCTTTTCTGGTCATTAATTGCTAATTAAAAAATAAAAATATAAAGGCTAATACAAATGAAACATCACTAAACTCTGTGTAACAATAGAATTGTTAGTTTAATGATTTCTCTGTTGTCCTTGGCTTTGTTAGCTTTTAATAATAAAAATATTACTTTGTGAAAAGTATATTCACTGTTCCTATGCTTTTAGAGAACATACAAATACTGGCCACAAACCCAGAGAAAATTACACTCAGATTTACACTCTCTCTTGAAGTGTGTCTGTTTGTCATTTCTTTAACCGAATCCCTGACCACCCTGCGCAGTCTCTCAACCCTGAGACGGCCTCATCGTCTACTGCTGTGCTGGTCCGTGGCACATGTGACCTTCACTCCCTTCTGTAGGGGAGGGGGAACCCCAAAGGAGGGAGGGCATGTATGGGGAGAGACTCACATGGCCCCGTTGGTCCCAGCCAGCTACCAAGAGATGCGCAGGCGGGTCCTCCCGATACTTTTAGGGAATGTTCACCACGTTTGCAGCAGCCAAAACAAGTGGAAGTTCTTCCGTTTCCATTCTGAAGGAAATGATAGGCACAGGGTCAATACAACTGCCTCAAGCCCCACCCTCCTGCGCCATTCTCACCATCCCTTCCAAGCGACGCCTGAAACTATAGCTGCGACAGTTCAAACTCCAGCTCCCCTCCCACATGTATGGGGGAACCATGTCTCACACCACCACTTGGCAAGAAGATTTCAGTTGTTCTCCTCCATTACACTGACGCCCTAACCCCACTGCCACCCCAATGACGAGTACTCTCTGCTGCAAGGGCCCTCCCCTGTGGGTAAAAGCAGATATCTTTACTTCTCATCCATGACCTTGACTTTTCACAGCTAACCCCCAGGTATTCTGGTGGCCACATCGTCATTTTCTTCCTCATTATTTGTATTAGGATAGTGATTCATAGTTTTCAAATTGCCTTCACATATTATTTCATTCTCAAAATATCCATATGATGAGGTCTGGTAGGGACTATTATCTTCAGTTTACAAGATGCAGAAACCAGCTTCAAGAGGTTGAAGTGCTAGTTCAATGTTACACTCTGGGGGCCCTAGTGTTGTGGAGTGAGGTCCCCAGAGCTTCATACCCAAGGAGTTCCAGCTGGTAGGCAGCCACATCCGCCACGGCCTGGGCATCAGTAGCTGAACCCAACAGGGCGCAGTAGATGCACTGGTGCGGGGGGACAGCTTGTCAAACACTTGGTTTGTCACTGCCTGGCTGTCGGGAGGGGTCAATAGTCACCAATGTTAGAGCTGCAGGAATTTTTGAGGTTGATCATCCAGAGTTTCTCAACTTTATTGACAAGAGAATAGACAGAGTTAATGAAAGTTACTTCTTGGAATAAAGCAGAAAAAAAAAAGCCACCTCAAAATGAACCACAGAAAGCAATAACCAAAATTAGACACATTATCAGGCTTAGATTTTTATAACAAAAGAAAAAATTTATATAAGTTGAGAATGATGTTCTTTTTATTGATTTGTCTTGCTATTAACCATCTTGAGGTAGACTAATATAGATCTAATCCCATATACTCATTTTGCATGTGAAACACTTGACCAGGAGAGAGAAAGAGACAAAATCAGTTCAATTTTTGATGATGGAATATTTGTTTATAGGACCATCATTTCTATTTGTAAACATAGATGAAAGAGGGTCCCTCAGACCTCTATCCCTATCCTCTTCTCAGACCCTATTCCTCCCAGGGACAAGCCATGTAAGCATTTTACTCTTCTCCATGAATGCAGAGACTAAAACATGCAACCAATATCTTACAATAACTTTTCTGGGAGGTTAACTCCATTTTCCCCAAGCCCCAATCGATTTGTGAATGGGTAGGAAAAGTGTGCATTGGGGGCCATTAAATTCTTTCCAAAATCACACATGGTAACTTGTACTTACCCTGAAAACATCTGGGAATTGGAACCTATCACAACAACCCTGTCAAACTCTACTGCCATGATGGTTGTCTGCAGAGACACAGAGGATGCACTGTCAGCACAGAAAGAGCCTCGATCCCTTCATGTTACAGATGAGGAAGCATTCCCAGAGAGGAAAGTTGACCTGCCCAATGTCATACAGTAATTTGGGCCAGAGATGACTCCCAGTACAAGTTTCTCTCCATCTACCCATTTTCTCTACTGTCTCTTGCTGCTGCAAGGGAATGCCAGAGCCCAGGCTTAAGACAATACTGGAAAGATTGCATCCCTAAGACCCGGCCTTCTTAAGTGGAACCCTTTCCACTTATAGAGGTGGGATGAGGGTCCTAGAGGCACAAGTGTTCCCTTTCAGGGGAGGGCTCAGGGAGACGAACTTACAATCACTGGTGAAGCAGCCCCAAAAGTAAATGACCACCTCTCCAAATGCTTACTGTGTGCACAGATATTGCATAGATGAAACAGAGCAACTGTGACCTTGGGAAGAAAACTCAGGTCTCTTTGAGGCCAGAATCTGTGGACCCCACTTCCATTTAATCAGAAGTGAGCTCTTTTAGTTTATTGAACAACAGAAAGCATTGAGGGGGTCATTGGTTAGCAGGGCCATGTGTCAAGGAAGGAGGGAAGCAGCAAGAATATGAGATAGTTTAAAATATGTTTCATTTAAAGGATTCTGATCAAGAAGTAGGTAGGTGTCTTAGTAGCCAGGAGAAGAGATCTGTACCAAGATTTTGATTGTGAAGTTTTGTTAGGGGGAAAGGATGTCCTGTGCTAATCCCATACAGGCTTTGTGGACTCCACCCCCACTCCAGACTAAAGCCATCAGGACATTGGGAAAGACAAATCCCGTCACCACCAAAGGGAAGGTGGCTGGGACCTGAGGGTGGAGTTAAGCAGCCAGGGTTGGTATAAAAACCAAACACATGGGCCTTGGTGGGGTTGCTCTCTCCTCGCCTCCTGGCTTCACGGCTCCTGGCTTGCGGCCAGCTCTCAGGGTGCCATTTGGGATTCCAGATCGGTGGATCAGGTAGGACACATTTAAAACTTTGTCTCCCACTCTTCTCCCAGAGCTGTACATTTCCTCATTTCCCCTTCCCTTGTAAATAAACCTTTTATTAACCTTTCGCGTGTGCCTGCAGTAGAGCATTGATAAGTCCTTTTTAAGCGCGCGGGTGAGGACCCACAGTCAGGCACCCTGTTTTGTATTGGGGCTGCCCTATAACAGTTTGAGTTGACTTTTTCAGGTCAAGAAAAGCAATTAAGGAAAAGAATTAAGGAAGAATAAAGTTACATATTTTTCTACTGTTGAGTTGGGTGGGGCCTTAAAGATGGATCCGTGGTTCAGGCGAAGAGTCTGAGTCATAGAGAAGGCAAGTGCTTTGTGAAATTCACGAAGACTAGTAGCAGATCTGGGACTAAAAGTCAGGTCTCATTGCCACTGCTTGTTTTGACTTCTACTGCCTACTTTCCACTGCTCGTCTGGCAGCAAGGGAAGATTTTCTAACTTATAAATGGTTTTACTGCTATCTTTACCAGGCACCATAAGTTACTCTGGTGGCCACTCCCTTAAGACAAAGCTGCCCTCCAGGCAGGAGCGGTGGCAGCAAGCTGGGTGTAGAAGCCAGTCTGCCTTGGGCTGCCACTGACCCCAGGCGCAGGCTGGGCAAAGTCCGCAGCAGGGTCTGAGAATGGGAAGAGGAAGGAAAGGAAGCGGGGCAGCATCTGAGCCAAGCAGGAGTCCTCTTTCTCCAAGCTCGGGAAGGCCCCACCAGCTCACACGGAACCCTCCTATCAGTGCTGGGGCCATGATTTTCCCCTTCTCAGGGGGCCAGTTTATCAAAGGTCTGTGAGATGAGCTGTCTCTCTTCAATCAGTATCCACATTCCCGTCTCCCAAATGCTGTCCTACTTCATCCAGCGCACCAGACCCTCACCTTCTCCAACTTGAATTAAAAGCCCCTCTCTCCAGTTCAGAATGAAAGCAAAAGGGCCTTAAAACAGCTTCCCCTTGACGCCGGCAGCCAAGAGCCAAAGCATCTCCTTCTCCACCGCCTCGCACGCCTGGTCCCTTCGCGGGCCCCCAGAAGATCCCCTTCAGAGCAGAGATGCTTTAATTTCATTGTAAGGTGCGAGCCCTGGTTAATACAAGACACTGCCTCACACTGTTAGACTCAGGGTCCCCCTGCCATTCACCTTCCCTTCCCCGCTGCTAACCCTCAAACCCAGACTTATTACCCCCGCGTGGCCTTCCCGGCCTGGGGCAGGTCCCGGGTTGGTGCTCCCGCCCGCGGCATCTCTGCGCCGCGCTTCTTGCTGCTCGGGGCACCGGTTCGCGACCCGGGACCGCGCGCCGCGCGCAGCCTCCGGCCCGCCCCTCACCACGCCCTGCCGCCAGGGGGCGCCGGGGGCCCCGAGGGAGCCGCGCCCGCCGCGCTAACCTGTGTGGGGCAGACCTGCCCGGAGACAGGTGACGCGAGAGCCCCGGCTGAGGCTGGAGCGAGACAGTCAGTAGCGGGTGCAGCGAGGGGCCACTTAGAGGAAACGGGGGGCTGGTGCCCGTGGTGGCGCCAAGGATGATCTGAAGTCAGGTCTGACCTCAGCGCCCTCTCCCGCAGCGGTCCCGGCGCGCGCGATCCCCAGTGGGCGGACCTCGTGGCCGGCGGCCGCTTTCGCTTTTCTTTCCCATAAACGGCTCCCTTCGGGGCGGCGCGGGCTGCGCTGGTTCCCGGGACTTCCCCAGGGCCCCGCCCCGGCCCGCGGGAACCCGGACACCGCGGCGCCCAGACCCCTGCTCCGGGGTGCGGACGCCCCGGGCCCGCGCGCGGATGGCCAGCTCGGGGAGGCCCGCGCCCGGCGGGTGCCTCTGCCCGTCCCGGGCGCCCCTCGCGTGCCTGGGCCCCGCGCTGCTGCTGCTCGCCGACCTGCTGCTGCTGCGGCCGGCGCTGCCCGGGGTCCTCTCCCTGCTGGTGCCCACCGCGCCGCCGCTGTCCCGGCTCTGCCTGGTGGGCCTGAGCCGCTGGGCCGCGCTGTGGCTGGGGGCGCGAGGCGTCCTCTGCGCGGCGCCCGGCTCCGAGGGCGCAGGGGTGCCGGGGTGGACGGCTGCTGGGAAGCCGCTGGCGGCGGCGCTGGGGTTGGCCCTGCCTGGACTTGCCGTGTTCCGAGAGCTGAAGTCTTGGGGGCCCCCAGGGTCTCCGACAGCGCCGAGCTCCTGCACTGGGGAAGTCGCCTCGACGCCTTCGCCCTCAGCTACGCGGCTGCACTGCCCGCCGTCGCCTTGTGGCATAAGCTCGGGGGCCTTCGGGGGCCTGGGGATCCCGGGGGTTCTGGAGACACGGTCCGTAGACTTCTGGGCTGCCTGGGCTCGGAGATCCGCCGCCTCCCACTCGTTTTGGTCCTGCTGGTCCTCTCCTGTGTCGGTAAGGGGGCTGCGGGGAAGGGGCGGGGGCTGGGGGCAATCAAGATCAAGGTCAGCAGGGCAGGCTGGTGTGGGTCTGGGAACCCAGCCCGGATCCTGAGGAGACCCTCCCATGTGGAGGAGAGAGTCCTGGATGCCTGTGTGACCCTGTGAAGCTGCTGCACTGAGCCCCTCTGGCAAGCCCTTGCCTTTGCGGCCTAAGGGCTCCAGCTTAGATGGAGAGTATCTCACTCTCAGAGATGATGCCAGAGGAGCTCACTCCATGGTCTCTAGCCTTCTAATGAAACCCCTAAAGATCTGGTGCAAACACAGCTTTGTGTTTCAGGGTGGCCTGTTTGGTGCAGGGATGTGACCTCAGAGTTGTCCTTCTCTGCTGCCTCCCAGGACAATAGGGGGTGGTGGAGGAGGGGTGGCTGGGACAGCCTGGGTGGAGCTGAGCTGCTGACACGTGGTGTTGGCGAGTGACCCATCTCTCCTCTCCCTCCCCAGGGGAGATGGCCATCCCCTTCTTCACCGGCAGACTCACTGACTGTATTCTACAAGATGGGGCAGCCACGGCCTTCACCCGGAGCATAATTCTCATGTCCACTCTCACCATAGCCAGGTCTGGGGGCTGAAGATGGAAATTGGGAATGTGGGGCCCTGAAAGAGGGAGTTGGAAGTTGGGGCTGCTGTCCAAAGTGCACTTCTGCAGGGATACCTGGGACGTACTCTGTCTCCTGAACATGCCCTAACCTTCCTTTGCTCCAACTCTCCTTAGCGCAGTGCTGGAATTCTTGGGTGACGTGATCTACAAGAGCACCATGGGCCATGTGCACAGCCAGTTGCAGGGAGAGGTGTTCCAAGCTGTCCTGCGCCAGGAAACAGAGTTTTTCCAACAGAACCGAACAGGTTTCACATGAAGCTCACTCTACATGGCTATACTCTATATGCCCATACAACCTCTTTTACACATAGCCTTGCTGTGTCTGCTCTCTCTCTCTCTCTCTCTCTCTCTCTCTCTCTCACACACACACACACACACACACACACACGAACACACTGCTATTTCTTATTCTTGCTACACATCAAGAGCAAAATACCTTCAGAAAGACTTAATTTTTCCATCCAAGGCAAGGTTTTCCCCATAAATTTATTCCTATATGTGTATTTAGATAGAAACCACAGAATTTCAAATATGGAAATTTTGAGATCACAAAGTCTAACTGCCTTATTTTATAGTGAAAGAAACTGAGGCCTGCACCCTAATGCTGACACTTCCTGTCACATGTGACAGAAGGAAGTGGGGGGAGACTCCCAGTGTTCTGACTCCCAATCTGGTGCACGTCACAGTTTCCTAAACTGCATTCCCCATGTTCCCACCAACTCTATTAAACGACCAGCATATTAAGCTCTTCCCACCTATGTGTACAGTATCGGATGGGCGTGGCACAGAAATCTGTCAGAAAAATGGAAATTTACATGGCTATTGATTTCCTTATAATTAAAATGAAGGGCCTTGGCCAGGCTTTTCTGCTCTAGCACTCATCCTTCCTGCACTGAGATCCCCAGACCTCCCTCTATACCTCACCATTTTCCCAGCCTCCTTACAACACCATGTTGACACCTCTCCCTGGCATTCTTGCCACTGCTAGTCTCCCATCCACTCTGAACCTCTCATTCACTCCGCCCTCTTCTCCCCAACTCCTGGCAGGTGCCATCACATCTCGGGTAACAGAGGACACGTCCACCGTAAGTGAGTCTCTGAGCGAAAGGCTGAACCTACTGCTGTGGTACCTGGTGCGGGGGCTGTGTCTCTTGGTGCTCATGCTCTGGGGGTCACTGTCCCTCACCCTGTCCCTCATCCTGTCACCCTGGTTGCCCTGTCTCTGCTTTTTGTTCTGCCTGAGAAGCTGGGAAAATGGTACCAGGTAAGACCAGGGCATTGGCCCAGGTACACAGGCCCCTATCTCCCAGACTCAGAGGGCTCAGTTCCTCTAAGATTTCTTCCTAACTTTCTTGGCACACTCCCTGATTGTGCATCTTGCTGGGTCTCAGATTGCTCAAAGCTGACCTTCACATTTTCTGTGCTTTTAACTTCAGACACATCTGTCTTTAAGGATACGATGATCAATCTCAAGGATGTGGCCCCTGACAGCCCCTGAGTCATTTTCCTCTCCTTTGTATCTCTTTAGTCTTGGGGTGTGACTGTCTCCCTTTTTCTTCTTTCCTGTCCCTCTCTCCCTTTTCATCTTTAATCTCCAGCCAGGTAACTCAGACACTAGTGTCCCTTATGGTTTTCCAACCCTGTGTGACATCTCTTGTCTGTGTCTCCACAGTTGCAGGCCACACAGAAGCAGGACTCTCTCGCACAGGCCAGCCAGGTGGCCATCGAGGCTCTGTCTGCTATGCCTACAGTCCGGAGTTTTGCCAATGAGGAAGGAGAGGCCCAGAAGTTTAGACAAAAACTTCAGGAATTGAAGACACTCAGCCAGAAGGAGGCCTTGTCCTATGCGGTTGACACCTGCACCACCAGTGTGAGCACCCGGGGACGCCTGGGTCCATTCCCTTTCCCTAATCCTCCTCTGGGTGGTGGTTGGTTTGGTGTCTTCATCTTATCAACCTGAGCCCCAGTTAGCCCGCTCAGTGTGCCTTACCCGCTCCCTCTGTTACACACGGTGGCCTGCTTCTTTTCCCAAGAGTACACAAACCAGGGAGAGGCCACGTCTTTCAGTCTAGGGCCTTCCTTTGGCTCCCACGGGGGGCGTGGGGAGCCATAGATTCCTGCGCCTGGGCCTGCTTCATGTTAGGACTGTGTGGGTGTGACAGCCCCGGGAATACAGGAGTCAAGGATGAGGAGCATCTGTGATGTCACTGAAAGAGAACTAGACCAGCAGTTCCTGACTTGATGCCACTGTTCACTGGAACTGGGACCATGGGCAAGTGACTTGCTTTCTCTAGATGGTTTCCTCATTTGAAAAAATGAGAATGGTATCAATTTGTTCATAGGGCTTTTGACATCAATAGTAGATGACATTACATTCATGAAAGTCTTTGGTGCAGAGCTAAGTGCTCCAAGTAATGTGATGAAGGTGGCTGGGAGCAGCCGGGGATCGAACCGGCGCTGCAGAGGCTGCGGGCAGCTTCGCAACCCAGCGCTCAACTGCTCCGCCACCGGGAGGCCCTCTGTTTTTTTATTTTTTTTCAGTGAGTTAAGAAATGCCTTAATTACTTGAATTTTCTCCTCCTTAGTAATTTTGGTTATATTTTTGTTATTATTGTTTGTTTGTCATTGGAGTTAATTTTTCTGTGTATTTCCAATCTGTTTCATGTTGCGTAGTTTGTCTTTTTTTTATTTTTACATACATACACACATGCACACGAATTAGGCAAGGATAACAGCATCTTCATTCCTGGAAAGCTGAAATTATTCTTTTGCTACAGGGCAGGGAGGGGGCACCCTAGGACCCCCAAACCTGCCTGCTGTAAATAAGTTCTGCCATCCCCTGCAACAAGACAAAACGTTTTGTAAGACCTTTAATGGACAGGAACATTAATACAACTAGTGTACAACAAAGAAAAAACAAAGAATATGGTTTCCAAACCCAGAACCCAAAGTTTCCCATCCCCTTGTGGGTAAAAGTTCAGCCAAATAGGATTGGCCCAGAGCAAGGCCTGAAAGCCTGCCACAAGTCTAAACACCTTCGGGGGGGACCCATATAAAAGGTTAGGAAACAGATAAATCTGGAAGGAAAAGAGCAAAATCAAAATCAAGATTAACGTTGGGCCTTCCTGGTGGCGCAGGCGGTTGAGCGCAGTGCTGTGGGGCTGTCCTTAGCCTCTGCAATGCCGGTTGGATCCCCGCTGGCCTCGGAGCAACTCACATGGGGGAGCAGACCTC